GGCAGGACACCTGGCAGGTCACTAGGCAGACCACTCCTCAGGAAGGAGGTACCTGGTGTTTGATAAGATCCACCGACCTATAGCTCATCAATTTGTACTTTTTGAAAGTTGCTTACTTCAAACCCACCAATAGAAGCCTGCTAAATCATGACTGTATAATTAATAGCCTGAGAAGTATAAGAATGCTGGGCTCTTCAACCGGCGGGGGGGGGGGGAGGGGGGAGGATGGGGGGCTGTTCTGGCTTGCTTGCTCTCCTTCTCTTTTTCCCTCCCTGCTGATTCTGCAGCAGCCTCGGCTACAGCTGCCCCTTCCCAGCCCAGCCCTGCTGGACTAAGTGGGATGGCTGGGAGACTTAGGCTAACCTGGATAAACCACCTTTATGCCTTAGCACCGACTTCAGACTTGATTTTCTGGGGATATCAAAACCTGGCAAACAGTTCCAGCCAGGGATACAGGCCCAGCTGTGCCCTGCTTGGCTAGAGCGTGTTCTGTGAGAGCCATGGAGAGCCTGTAGCTTGACTATTCTGGGTATCTCATCCTGGAGGAGGTTTCACCTTCCCTGCCTTAGTGCCGGAAACCAGGGTTGGTAGTTGAGTGTCATGGCTGAGTCTGGCCTGTGGTTACTGCAGCCCTGGTTATTCCTGGAGTGTATCAAGCAGGTGGGAGACAGGCCCTGCCAGCATCCCAGTGGGGAGGTGAGGCTTGACTCCACCAAGGCTCTGGAGGCTATCAAATCCACCCTGGGGCAGGACTGGCCTTCCCTGTACTCATGGTAGGGTGAGCTGGGCACTAGGAGGTACCTGATGGTATGTGTACCCCTGCAGCCTGGCTCCATTTTACACACCTGCACACACACAGGTGTGGGACTGAGTCTGGCCAGCAGACCACTGTAACCTGACTCCATTCTACACACCCCTACACATGCAGGGGTTAGGACTGGGGCTGGCCTGTGTACTCCTGTAGCCTGGCTCCATCCTACACACCCCTACACATGCAGGGGTTAGGACTGGGGCTGGCCTGTGTACTCCTGTAGCCTGGCTCCATCCTACACACCCCTACACATGCAGGGGTTAGGACTGGGGCTGGCCTGTGTACTCCTGTAGCCTGGCTCCATTCTACACACCCTTCCTTTCCCCCACCTACACACAAAGGGGCTGGGGCTGAGGGCTCAGCTGCATGACTCCCAGTACCAACCCATCTCGCCGTCATGGTTGCCCCAGAAGGTGGTCCTCCTGGTTCCCTGGAGGAGGGAGGGGACAGCCCAGTTCTCCAGTTTCTTGGGCTCCTGACCACAGAGCCAACCAGGGGCATTCTCTGTGGTCTGGGACTTGGGCCTGATGCCCTGTGCATAATGGTACTGTTGTGAGCTTACTGAGTTGGAGGCAGACTCTTGGGAGCTCAGGAGTCTTTATTCACTGGCTGGTGGACTGTCCTGTTCCACTGCAAGTGCAAGAGAAGAGGCTGCCATTAGGGGCATTTAAACTCATGCTGGCATGAAAAACTACCCAATCAACTAAGCCAGCTTTGGTTCAATGTGACAAAGGGGGAATTGTCAGGAATTGTTATCTTCTCAAAGTTGAATACTTTCCTTCCAGAGTTGAAGAAGACATGTGTTTTGGTCTGGGCTGAGTGCTAATGTGAGGATGAAGGAAAAGTCGACCACCTGCAACCCACCTGCACGTACCAGTAGGAGCCACAATAACGCTGTTACTTGTGTTAGGGTGTCCAATGAGCAAGTGTTCATACAGACTAAGCTTGGCAGCGAGGAGCTGAAGCAAGCATGCAAGTGTGTTTTATAGAAGCCAGTTTTGCAGTCAGCCAAGTTTTAAAGTAGACAATAGATGTCTTTCTGTGTGTGTCTCTCATGTTTTTCTGTATGTTTTGAAACTCACACAGACTTAGAGAGTCTAACAAAAGTGTTGCCATTGTGAATTCTTAGGCTGCCACAGAATAGCAGCCTGTAGCCTCACCAAGGCCCTCCACGTGGGTTGCCCAGGCCATCAAGGGCAGGGGTGACTTGGCTGCTAGGCATAAGGAACTGGGAAGAGGGAAAGTATAGAGTCCTGCAGCACTGTTATTCTCCTGTCCTCTATGTGCGGCAGAGGGATGCCAGATGAGTAAATCATGGGCCAGAAGGGAACGGATAGGCTTGGAGAGGGAGCATGGCACTGCTGGCAGTTTAGCAAGTTGGGTGGAGGGGGAATGCAGTCCTGGAGTAGGGGTGTGGAGTGGCCCTGCTGGCAGCTCAGCTAGCAGGGTAGGGCAGGGCAGGGCAGGGCAGAGGGGCTTCCTCAAACCCCCTGACTGAGAGATGAGGGACCTCTTCCCGAGGACCAGGGCAGGCTTCTGTCCGTGAAGGCACTCTCTGGTGCCGGGCCTGAGTGGAGGGCTCTGTCCCTGAGTTCTGTAAGGTAACCCACTGTCTCCTCACAGGACTGTTGACAAAAGATCCAGGCCTCAGGCCTGCAGGCTGGAGACCCTGGCACAGCTGTCAGAAAGCAAAGTGACAGAGAAATGGAGGAGTCCACGCAGAGGGCTGCCCGTGGCTGCACTCCTCAGCTTGTTGCCAAGGGTTGTGGTGAGCCTGCTGTCTGTCATCAGGGAAGGACTGGGCCAGGCCTCCAGTGGAGGAGAGCGTGTGCCTGGAGCCCTGACAGGTGTCTGGGACCAGCTCTTCATGGCACTTCAAGCCAACTGAGCTCACCATAGTGCCTGGGCTCCTGTTGGCCTCCAATGGCTGTGCCAGGTCTCTTGCCAACACGCATGAGTGGGCGTGAGACCTGCTGGCTGCCTGTGTGTTGATGTGAGGTCTCAGGACCAGTTATACACCTGAGGTGAGGTATGTGTAGGTGTGAGTTCAGCCAGCTGCATATGTGTAGGAGAGAAGCCACCTGTGGCTCTAAGGTCCCTGAGTGATCCCTCAAGTTCCTGCAGAAAGGATGAGGGACCAGTAACATGGTGGTCCTGATGGATGTGGCCCTGAGGTAACTGGAGTTGTGATCCTAGGGAGCCATGTGGCGAGTCGGGCAATGAGCAGCCCTGAGGTGAGTGGGGCCCTGGGTGGCCAGAGGTGGATATAGCCCTGGGTGGCCCTGTGGTAGATATGGCCCTGGGTGATCCTGAGATGGATGTGGCACTGGGTGGCCCTGAGGTCAGTGTGGCCCTGGCCAGCCCTCCTGCTCCCCATGTTTCTTTATGTGTGGAAGCAAAGCGGGGCAGGTGTGCTGGGAACCCGATGGAGTTCCTGCAGCTCATGGGGACCTTTTGGTGTTCTGTGGCTGCTCGGACCAGGGCTGATGAACATTCTGTATTCTGTGCCCCAGTGAGGCATATCCCCACTCCTCCTAGGACCTGTAGGTGTCCTGTAGGTCAGCCCCAGCATCCAGCAGGTGCCAGCAGCCTCCTGTGCATGTCTAGGCCCTGCAGTGGAGACTACAAGGTGGATGGTGGGGCCTCAGGTTATGGAGACATCTCAGCAGAAACCCTGGAGGCTGGAGGAGAAGGGAGATCAATACTTCAAATCAGGAAAGGAAAAGAAGGGATTCCACTTAATAAGGAGCTCCCTGGAGGAGGGATCACGTGCCCCAGGGGCTGACATGCATCCCTTGCCCCTGGGACCTCAGCATGTGCCCTGCTGGAATCTGTGGGCTTAGCTGAGGGCCAGGCTCTGGGGAGCCCAGGCTATTCAGTTCCTCATGGCCCGCATGGACATGTTCGTGGTAAATGCCAGACAAGGATGGCAATGACAGTAACTCTTCTACCTGCCCAGGAGCCCTGAGAGCGGGCAGGGCTATGACAGTGACCAGGCACAGAGCTCATAAAGCCCTGGCTGGCAGAGCTGGCAGAGAATGTGATGTGTGCAATAAAGCCGCTCCTTCTTGGGGCCTTGTGCAGTGCTGAACCAGCTGATGCAGGGCTGCCAGGGTCATTGATCCCACAGCCTACTGCAGGGCTCCTGTGCCAACTGGCCGTGTGTGAGGCTTCACTCTCCTCCACCAGCAGGCAAGTGGTGCCAGTGATGGGCTCCACTGCAGCAAAGTGAGGGGGAGTGTGCAGCTGCACCTGGAAGCCCGCTGCATTTCCAGTTCTGTTCAAGCAGGGCCTGCCCTACACACTGCAGGGAATCACCACACCCGGCCTGTCCTCTGACTGGCCTCTGACTGGGCCATGACGGCCAGGCCCACACCGACTCCAGTCTGCCTTTCTGCCCCCTGGAGCTGTCACTCTAGAGTCCTTCACCAGATGACACCTTCCCGGGGCTCTGGAGCCTGCCAGGTCTCTCTCAGTGTTCTTCTCTCCATGCTGAGGCCTCCGAGGCCTCCAAGGCCTGCCAGCGCCTGCTGGCCTGGGCACCCCCACCTTCTCCCTGCGGGATCTGTGGGCTGCCTTTCTCCTCCCTAGGGCTATTTCCCGGCCTTTCTGCCTCTGAGGGTAGAGACTCCCCTGGTCCTTGCTCAGGCATGGGGCCTCCTGACAGTCCTTCAGCGCCCTGCCCATAGTAAGAGGTATTTTGAGTGGAACATTGGGAAGTGAGTGCTCACCTGCCCCCTCACTCCTCTCACTCCCCTCGCCAGCAGCCCTTATCAGGGAGACCCTCTGTGAGCCTGGAACAACCCCCTGTGGGCCCCACTTATGGGGCACCACCTCAGGCAGTATCTGGGAACCGCCAGCCAGTGTTGAAGTTGAGGGGGGTTGGGGGCCCTGCTGGCAGTGGATGTGGCTGCCCTGTGCCATGCTGTGAGGCCCCAGCTGCCTCTGCCTTGCCTGTTCAGCCCTCCACAGGGTCTGACAAGAGCATGCAAGGACTGCACTTGTGAGGAAAGGGGACACAGAGGCCCCCGTGGGCCTCAACTATAAGTAACATCTTCCTTCTATTGGTCTCAGCCTGTACTGAGCGTGGCCCCCACTCCACAGTGATTTGTTTGCTGTCCCTGGGGTCTTCCACACCTCTACATGGCACAGATTTTGCAGGGGGACAAAAGGTCTCATGAGACAGCAATTTCGCAAGCCGAGAGGCTCTTGTTTATTTTGGGGGTTACTAACAGCTGCACACACAGCGTACAGTGCCTGGGGCACATCCTGGCTGCTGCTCCCCAGGGTGGAGGACTGTTGACTGGACTGGTTGAGGCCTGTGCTTTAGCAGAGAAGCTGGCCGGCGACGTGGGGAAGACGCAGGTCTCAGACGCAGGCCACACAAGCAGGGCGACAGCGGCCTGTCTCCTAGCTTCGGCTTCCTTCTCAGGTCACTTCACCTGCAGGCAACAGAGACGTTCTGAACCGCTGCTCGCCCTGGGGTTGAAGGCGGACCCCCTCAGGACAGCCCTCCACCTGGGTGGCTCTCTGCCTGGCCACAGCCCTGCAGGAAGCTGGCTACCTTGAACAGGGTGACTGTGGTGCTGTAGAAGAGGCTCAGTAGGAACAGGACGATGAAGGTAGAGGCAGTGGTCCACAAGTTCTCAAAGCCCTCCTCCTCGGCACCCACCTCCCCTCCTGCAAGAGGACACACACAGAAGCACGGGGGATCAGGTTCGGCAGCACCCACACAGGTCAGAATCTGGCAACATTTCAGCTGTCAAAGCCACCCTCAGTCTCAACTTCACTGTGCTCCTGAGGACAGGGGTGAGGTGGGAGGTGCTGCACAGAACACTGGCCTTGCCAGCTGAGGACTCCTGGGTTGGTCTGGAGGCAGGGGTGGGCCACCCCGACTCTTGTTCCAGAAGCCCTGAGTGTCAGAGAGAGCATAGCAGAAGCAGCATACAGATACTTGGCAGAGTTGGGGCGGGGAGACTGAGCTGTAGGGCCCCCCTGGGGCTAGGACCCTGGGGCTGAGAAGCAGGGTGTGAGACCTGTGTCCCCTGTGGCCTGGCAGGGCTGTGGAGGGTCTGGGCCTGAGGCAGCCCCCTTCTCAGGTCCTCAGGAGTATCTCTGAGGGCACCCTGGCTGCCCAGGCTTTTCTGACTCATGGTTCTGGGCACAGATGGAACCCTGAGGATGACAGCAGGATGTGGACATTTCAGTCCACTGGGTCCCCTGAGTGAACTAGCCCTTGGTGCACAGGCCCCAAAAGATGAGAGTGTAGGAGGAGTCCTTCGTGCTGGGGGCTTGCCTCCTCAGGACAGCTGCCTTTGGTCCCCTGCACTCCCACCTCTGTTTGAGTGCAGGGCAGGCCCATGGAGGCCCCTTGGGCCTGGTGCATCCACAGGGGGCTAGATGAGGAGGGGACATTCCGCCCCAGGCCACCTCTCCCCTGAGCCTTTAGCTGTTTGCAACAGAAGCCTGAGGAAACTTTCAGCCCTGTACACTTGCCTGGAGCCCTTGCCTCTGTCAGGGTCTAGCCTGAATCCATCTGAGGAAGCCCTCTGATGGGTGAGCAAAGCCTGGGGCAGGAAGTCCTGCAGCAGATTGCACAGGCAGAGGCCTCTAGGGCCCTGGCACATGTGCGTGCCTGCTGTCCACAGGTGTGTCAGCCTGGCTTCGTGTAAGGCTTGTCCATGTCTGTGTAAGTTCATGTAAAGGTTTGTGCTATGTATGTCCGTGACTGCACATACCCGCACATGGTCCAGGGCTATTGTGTGTGTGTCATTGACTGTTTGTGACCGTGTGTTCCACACATGGTCCAGGGCTATCGTGTGTGTCATTGACTGTGTTCTGTATGCTTGTGCCCTTGTGTGGAGGCATATGCACATGTGTACACACATATTTACATTTGCCCAGGTGTATGTGTGTGCCTGTGTGTGCACATGTGCACACTCATGTCTATCTGCCCATGTATGTGAGTACTCGTGTGTGGGGCGGCACACCCATGTAGGTAGGAATCCACATGTCTTGTGCATGTACGCATGTGTACACTTGTGTTTGTGTCTGTGGGAGGGGACTTGTACACATGTGTCTATCCACATTTGCATCTGCCCATGCAGGCGAGCACCTGTGTGTGCATCCAGGAAGGATCCAGGTGGGTCTCTCTGTGTGCACAGATGTGCATGGCCATGGCTACAATGTGTGTGTTTGCATGTGTCCATCACTTGTATCTGTCCTCTGACTGCCCACATGTGTGTGCTGTGTGTTCATGTGGCTGGGCTTGCAGCTGTCTTCCTGGAGGAGAGCTGTGCCTGGGCTCTGCTGCCCTGAATCCCCCACGGGGAGCACAGCAGCTTCAGAAGGACACAGAAGTGGGCAGTGGGCAGGGGCAGGACAGGCCCAGCAGGCAAGAGCATCGGACACTCAGGACCAGCATCTTTTGAATGGATCTTTTTATTTCTAACTTTTAAAAATGCAACATCTTGGGCCCACTGACAGGGTTAGTTTGCGTGCACACACACACACAGCGCCCGGTCACTCAGCGTGGTCAGTAGCAGGTGCTGGCCGTGTCGGACATGATCAGGGACACATTATACAGAGTGGGTTTACCAGTGGACTTGTCCACGGTCCTCTCGGTCACCATGTTCGGCAGAGCCTCGTGAGCCACAACGCAGGTGAATGTCTCCCCGGAGTTCCAGTCTTCCTCAGTCACGGTCAAGACGCTGTGGGTGAAGTACAGGCCTGGGGCCTGGGGCTCGGGCATTGGGGCACTGGTCACGTACTTGTCTGAGGACAGGGGCTGCCCCCGCTGCAGCCACTGCACGAACACGTCTGCAGGTGAGAAGCCCTTCACCAGGCAGGTGACAGTGGCCCACTCTCGTAGTTGCAGCTGATCGCGGGCTGGTGGTAGCATGTACACCTCGGGCCGGTGATTGGCCACCTCTGTGGGCAGAGAGGTAGGGGTGAACTTGGGCTGGGGGATGCTGGCAGAAGCAGAGAGGTGTGGGTGAGCATGGATGGGAATTATGGGAGAGCAGAGAAGCAGGAGTGAGCGTGGGCAGTGGGGGTGGCCTACCCTTGGGCCTGGAGATGCTGTGTTTCAGTGGAAAGGGCAGGTCTGCGTGGGTCACGGTGCATGTGAACTGCTCCCCAGAGCGCCACTGCTCCTCGCACACGCTGGCCTTGCCCGTGGCGCTGAAGGTGGCATTGGGGTAGCTCTCAGATATCTGGATCCGGGTGTCCAGGGCCTCGCCATTCTGGCGGGCCCAGGAGATGTTGAGGCTGTCATAGTTGGCCAGGTCTGTGACCAGGCAGGTCAGCTCGGCTGACTTGCTGACAAAGACGCTGGCAAATGAAGGGGCGATAGGGAAGACCTGGATGGTTGTGGGCTCACCTGGGAGAGGGGAGAGAGAAGCTTGTCTCAGGAGATGGGTGGCTTGCAGCAGGGAAGATGAACAGCTTTACCCAGAGAGCCACAGTGGACTTTGCTGAACCCCAGGGTGCTGCTCCCAGGTTCCTTGGCCCCTCCCCCTCCACAGCCTTGCCCTTGGCTAGGGCAAATGCTGACCTGGGCCCGGGGCCCTGGACACTCACCGGTGCTGCACTCAGAGGACAGGGACACGTTCTTATCGAAGTCAATGCCCCTGTGGTTCACACGGCAGGTGTACAAGTTCTGGCCCAGCCACTCAGTCTCGGTGACGGTCAGCATGCTGTTGACACTGAAGGTTGTGGGCCCAGACTCTCTGGCCTCAGCTTCCACTGGTTTTGTGGTAAAGCCAGACTCTACCTGCTGCCCATCACGCAGCCAGGACACGCTGACCTGTCTGGGGCTGAATCCTGTGGCCTGGCAGATGAGCCGAGACTTGCGTGGGCTGGAGCCAGAGAAGGAGTCTCGAGGCGGGATGAACACATTCACGTTGGGGTGCAACTCTATGGTTACTGGAGTGCAGGGCCAAGATGTCAGCCTAGCCTGGTGCCCACAGTCTCCTCCCAGCCTGGCCTAGCCCACCAGCACCCACTGTCCCCTCCCAGCCTACCTGGCACATCCCTCCTGGCCCACCACCCACTGCCCCCTCCCAGCCCACCACGCCCGGCCCCCACCCCGCTCACCAGGCCCTGTCTCCGCCGCAGGGGCCTGAGGCTTACTGGGAAAGGGCACACGCAGATTTTTGTTGCTTTTGCCCTGCAGTACTCTGCACTCCAGATAGTCGTCTCTGCCTTCGTAGACGTCCTTGGAAGGCACCAGCACTTGGGATGTGGCCATGTACTTATTCCCTGTCTGCACCACTGGGAAGGTCTGCACAATCCTGCTGCTGACCTCGGAGTTGTTCTTGTAGTTCCAGGAGAAGGTGACAGAACCAGGCAGGATGTCCCGTGCCAGGCAGCCCATGGCCACCTGGTTCCCATCGGACAAAGCACCCTCACAGGAGATGAGGGGGAAGAGCGTCGGGGATGAGGCGTCTACTGAGGGATGAATGAGAAGGAGAGGAGAGGTGAGATGATGCTCTCCGGTGCTCCTGACGGCCCTGAGGGCTCCCATGGCTCCATCAGGGCCAAGTCCTGCCAGACAGACCAATCAACTGGTGGGGCTGTCTGCCTCAGGCCCCTGCACTGCTGGGAAGATGGCCAGAGGTCCAGGGCTGTTGCTTCTTCGCTATGGAGCTTCCAACCCCACCGTGCTCAGACACATTGTGTTCAGGCTCCCTCTCAGAGGCTCTGACTCAGGCTTAGGCAAACCCAGACTTCCTCTGGGACATTGGGGCTGTGAGGCTGGCACCTCAGCCTGACCCCAAGGAGCTTGAGGTCTGGGATGCCTGGCGCCACATGAGGACAACATCCATTGTCCTTGTGTCCCCACAAGCATAGCCATGCTGATGCTCATTCTGAAATCATCATGAAGACAATGTGGCCTACTACGGGAAGAAGTGGTCACTCATCCAAGACTAGGAATTTATGCATCCCATGAGGCACAGTAGACCAACACAGACACAGAAGGAACATCTGGTTCAGGATAGATTAGCATAGCTGACCCAGCCCAGTAGAACCTAGCACAGCTAGCATAGACCAGCCCAACTCAGCTCAGCTCAGACAAGTCCAGCCTAACTTAGCTCAACCCGACTCAGTTTAGTTCAGCTCAACTCAGCCCAGCCCAGCCCAGCCCAGCTCAACTCATCTGTTCAGCAAGCTCAACTCACCTCAGCCCAGCTAAGCTCAGCTTAGTCCAATTCAACTCATCCCAGCACAGGTCAGCTGAGCTCATCTCAGCCCAGCTGAGCTCATCTCAGCCCAGCTCAGCTCATTCCAGCCCAGCTCAGCCTAGCTCAGCTCAGCTCACTCAACTCAGCTCAGCCCAGCCCAGCTTAGCTTGCTCAGCTCAGCTCAGCCCAGCTCACTCAACTCAGCTCAGTCTAACTCGGCCCAGCTCAACTCATCCCAGCCCAGTTCAACTCATCTCAGCCAAGCTTAGCTCAGCTCAGCTCAGCCCAGCTTGGTCTAGCTCGGCCTAGCTTAACTCAACTCAGCTCAGCCCAGCTCAGTGTAGCCCAGTTCAGTTCAGCCCAGCTCAGCCCAGCTCAGCCCAGTTCAGTCCAGCTCAGCTGAGCTGTCCCTGCCTAGTCTAGCTCAACTCAACCCAGTTCAGCCCAGCTCAGCCTAGCTAGGCCCAGCTCAGCTCAGCTCACCAAGATCAATTCAGCTCAGTTCAACTCTGCGCAGCTTAGCACAGCTCATCCAAACTAGGCTCAGCCCAGCTCAGCACAACTTAACTCAGCTCAGCTCAGCTCAGCCCAGCCTAGGAAAGCTCAGCTCACTCACTTCACCCAAACCAACCCATCCCAGCTCACCCAGGAAAGCCCAGCTTAGTTTATCCCAGCTAGGTACAGCTCAGCTCAGCTCAGCTCAGTTTGGCTCAGCCCAGCTCAGCTCAGTCAAGTCAGTCCAGCTCAGCTCATCTCAGCTCAGCTCTTCCCGCCTAGCCTAGCTCAACTCAAACCAGTTCAGCCAAGTTCAGTCCAGCTCAGCTCAGCCCAGCTCACCAAAATCAATTCAGCCCAGCCCAACTCAGCACAGCTTAACTTAGCTCAGCTCAGCTCAGCCCGGGTCAGCTTAATCTACCCTGCTTAGCCCAGCTCGGCACAGTTTAGCTCAACTCACCCAACACAGACCAGCTCAGCTCACCCAGCTCAGTCCACCTTCATTTACCAAGCTCAGCTTGGCCCAGATCAGCTCAACTCAGCTTGGCTCAGCCAAACTCAGTCAGCAGAGTTTAGTCTAGCTCATCCCACCAGGCTTGGCAAAGCCCAGCCAAGCTCAGTACTGCTCACACAGCCTAGCTCAGCACAGCCCACGTTAGCTGTTAGCTCAACCTTGCTTATCACAACAAGGCTGAGAAAGCACAACTCTGCTCAGCCCAGCACAGCACAGTCCAGCTCAGCTCTGTCCAGCTCAGCTCTGTCCAGCCCAGCTTAGAACACCTAGCTTGGGACAGCTTAGCCCACCCAGCACAGCCCAGAACAGCTAAGCTCATGCAGCTCAGCTCATTTCTACTCAATCTAAACCATGCCAGCTCACCCAGGACAGCCCAATTCAACCCAACTCAGATCTGCTTAGTCCAGCCAGGCTTAGCCCAGCTCACCTCAGCACAGCTCAGTTCATCTCAGCTTAGCTGTCCCTACCTAGCCAAGCTCAACGCAACCCAGATCAGACCAGTTCAGTGCTGTGCAGCTCAACTCAGCTCAAAAGGCTCAGCTCAGCCTAGCTCAGGTCAGCTCACCCAGTCCAACCCAGCTCATTCAGCTTGGTCCGGCTCAGCTAGGCAAGCCTGGGTAACTGGCTCAGCAAACCTCAGCGTGGCTCAGTTCAGCCCAGTTCAGCTTAGCACATCTCACACAGTACAGCCCAGCTACTCTCATCTCAGCTGAGCCCAGCTCAGCTAAGCTCAGCTCAGCTGAGCACATCCCACCCAGCTCAAGAGCTTAGCTCAGCCCAGCTCAGCCCAGCATAACCCAGTCAAGTCCAGATTTTTTCAGCTCAGCCCTATTCAGCCAGCGCAGCCCACTCAGCCCAGCAGAGCCTAGTTCACCCAGCCCAGCTTAGCTCAGCTAACCAGGTAGGCTCACCTAGCATAGCTCAGTTCAGCTCCTCTAGCCCAGCCCAGCTCAGCCCAGCTAAGCCCAGCTCGGCCCAGCTAAGCTCAGCTTAATTCATCCCAGCTCAGCTCACTCAGCTCAGCTTACCCAGCCCAGCTCAGCCCAGCTCAACTCACCCAGCTCAGCTCAGCCCAGCTCAGCTAGGCTCAGTCCAGCTCAGCTCAGCTCAGCTTACCCACCTAGCTAGGCCAGCTAAGCGCAGCTCAGATCAGCTCAGCTCTGCCCAGATCAGCCCAGATCAGCTCACCCAGCCCAGCTTAGCTCAGCTCAGCCCAGCTCAGCCCAACTCAGCCCAACTCAGCCCAGCTCAGCTCAGCTCAGCTCAGCCCAGCTCAGCTCACCCAGCTCAGCCCAGCTCAGCCCAGCTCAGCCCAGCTCATCCAGCTCAGCTCAGCTAGCCCAACCCAACTCAGTCCAGCTCAGTCCAGCTCAGCCCAGCTCAGCTCAGCCCAGCTTAGCCCAGCTCAGCCCAGATCTCCCAGCTCAGTTCACCCAGCCCAGCTCAGTTCACCCAGTCCAGCTCAGCCCAGCCCAGCTCAGCTCACCCAGCCCAGCTCAGCTCTGCTCACCCAGCTCAGCTCAGCCCAGCTCAGCTCACCCCAGCCCAGCTCAGCCTGGCTTAGCTCTCCCAGCTCAGCTCACCCAGCCCAGCTCAGCTCACCCAGCCCAGCTCAGCCCAGCTCAGCCCAGATTAGCTCAGCTCAGCCCAGCCCAGCTCAACTCAGCTCAGCCCAGCCCAGCTCAACTCAGCTCAGCCCAGTACAACTCACCCAGCCCAGCTCAGCCCAGCTCATCCAGCTCAGCTCAGCTAGCCCAACCCAACTCAGTCCAGCTCAATCTAGCTCAGCCCAGCTCAGCTCAGCCCAGCTTAGCCCAGCTCAGCCCAGATCTCCCAGTCAGCTCACCCAGCTCAGCTCAGCTCACCCAGCTCAGCTCAGCCCAGTCCAGCTCAGCTCAGCCCAGCCCAGCTCAGCCTGGCTTAGCTCTCCCAGCTCAGCTCAACCAGCCCAGCTCAGCTCAACCAGCCCAGCTCAACTCAGCTCAGACAGCCCAGCTCAGCTCAGCTCAGCTCAGCCCAGCTTAGCTCAGCTCAGCCCAGCTCAGCCCAGATCAGCCAGGCTTAGCTCACCCAGCCCAGCTCAGCTAAGCTCATCCAGCTCAGCCCAGCTCAGCTTAGCTCAACTCACCCAGCCCAGCTCAGCTCAGCTCAGCCCAGCTCAGCTCAGCTCAGCTCAGCTCAGCTCAGCTCACCCAGCCCAGCTCACCCAGCCCAGCTCACCCAGCTCAGCTCATCTAGCCCAGCCCAGCTCAGCTCACCCAGCCCAGCTCAGCCCAGCCCAGCTCAGCTCACCCAGCCCAGCTCAGCTCACCCAGCCCAGCTCAGCCCAGCCCAGCTCAGCTCACCCAGCCCAGCTCAGCTCAGCTCAGCTCAGCTCATCCAGTGCAGTCCAGCCAAGCCCAGCCCAGCTCAGCCCAGCTCAGCTCAGCTCAGCTCATCCAGCACAGTCCAGCCAAGCCCAGCTCAGCTCAGCTCAGCTCAGCCCAGCTCAGCACAGCCCAGCTCACCTCAGCTCATCCAGCTCAGCCCAGCTCAGCTCAACCCAGTTCAGCCCAGCTCAGCTCAGCTCAACTCACCCAGCTCAGCTCAGCTCAGCTCAACCCAGTTCAGCCCAGCTCAGCCCAGCTCATCCAGCTCAGCCCAGCTCAGCTCAGCTCATCTAGCACAGCCCAGCTCAGCTCAGCTCAGCTCAGCTCAGTTCAGCTCATCCAGCTCAGCCCAGCTAAGCTCAGCTCAACTCACCCAGTTCAGCCCAGCTCAGCTCAGCTCATCCAGCTCAGCCCAGCTAAGCTCAAACTCAGTCCAACCCTTCTTGGCTCAGCTCAGCTCAGTTCAGTCTTCACTTAGCTCACTGAATACAAATAAATCTATGGTCAATTCTGTAAACCCAGTTTCTGAAACTGCCCGTAAAAGATGGTTTGCCCATCAGACCTGCATTCAGCTAAACTATTACAGTTCAACTACCACCTGCTCATGCTTCTCCCCTTGGCTGCCCCTGCCTTTCTTGTCTGAGGCAGGACTCCTTCATCCCTGCCATCCTGGCTGTCCTGACGAAGCATTTCCCCACAACTCTGGATTCACCTGAGTATCCTGAGATTCAGTTTAGATCTTGGGAGAAAAGTCCCTTCACTCCTGAGCCAGCTGCACGGCCTCACTCTTCGGGAGCAGCCACCAGTCTGAATCCCTCCTTCCCGAGGCTAAAAGTAGCCTTGGGCCACAGAGGGTCACCTACACATGACCAGGCAAGCCTGTATCCTCTCTAGTTTCTGCAGCTAGTCATAATGCCCAATTCCGAGGGCACCTGACAGCGTGAGCATGCAGCCCAGCGGCTGTGACCTCTGTGGAAGCAATGGAGGTGCAGGGTACAGCTCAAACCAGTGCTTGGTCCTTGAGGGAAGACCCAGTGGCTTCCTCACCTTCAGGCACCAACTAAAGATAGTCTCCTCTTCCTAAGCAACCCAGCATCTCGCACACAGCAGCAGAGTGGTGGCAGTGGCAGCAGCTGCCCTTCCTGTGCCCAGTGGTTGGTCACTGGGAAGTCCTGTCAACTGTGGATTCTCGACTCGTCAGAAGCCTGGTCTGTGCCCCTAGATGTGGTGGTCCTGGGAGCCCTTGAGGCAGGACACCCACTGTCCTAGCCAGACCTGTGGAGGGTTCCAGAGATCCCCGCCTCCAAGTCTCCTTTAGTTCAATATCACACACTGAGCCGCTAACTCAGGAAGCTGCTGCCTGCTCCACCTGGCACTGGCCTGACAATGGAAACTTGAAAAATTCTGAAATGAAGCCTTTTTGTGAGAGTCTGTTTCTTCCAATCGCAGAGAAAACATGCGCAGGCTTTGTAATAGTCAAGCTTTGTGGCATCAAGAGGCTTGAGATAGACTGCCACGCAAGAAATCAAAAAGTAGTTTCCTGAACGTGTTAACAAACCATCCTAAGACGGTTCAATTTCTTAAACATCTTACTTAAAAAATGAATGCAATTTAGAAGTTGACAAACCAAGCTTGAGCAAACTAATAGTTGATAAAAATAAATTCGGTGACCAAAGGGACCCACAGGGTTCCTGCCAGCCCCTGGCTTGTTTCAGAAATGCAAAAGACCCAGGTGCTGTTCTGCTCGACTGAGCACACACTTGGAAACCAACTCACAAACATGTGCTATAAATTCACTGGGGCTTTTTCCACTTCCTAAAAAAGACTCTCTGTAAGACCACTTCCTGCCACCTGATGGCTGATGTCGGCCATCTCGGCTGTCCCTCACCCATGGACCTGGTATCAATTAATTAAAAACTAAACTTAAAAATAATTCTTGTCAAAATTTGGTCCCACACTGGGACCTGCCGGTGCCACTGCACTGTTCCTTGGCTGTGCTCGAGCCAGACAGACTTACAGTGGCTATGATAAGAATTTAAACATTTACATGAAAAATATCAAACATATTCTAAAAGAAAGCCTTAAGTCCCAGTGTTCTCAACCATTTTGCTCAGGAACCACTGGGAGTTACGTGCTCCTTAACACTAAATGGGCACCATGCCAGCAGGACTGGGCTCCCCTGGCCTCCTTAAGTGCCCATCTGCCAGTGTGGCAGTGCCTTGAGGCTTCTCCGCAAGGCCAAGGCGCCATGGTCCTCCTCACTTGATTCACTCACTTGGACCAAAAACCCTAAGTGTGATCCCACATGGGGCACATCTCTCAACTATGAAGAAAGACCCTCATTTGCCTTGGCGCCCCAGGCCTGGGCTCGCTCCCCAGCCAGCACTGTGCGTCAGGGCCCAGGGTTTCTTGGTGTCTCCTTCAGCCCTGGCTGGGCAAGAGCCAGCGTCTCTTCCAGCAACTCAGTCCATCCCGGACATGCCTGTTGCCATTCTAGTTTCCCAAAGACACCAAGAGACCCCCAGTCTATTCCCCCTGGCCCTATCAGATGTATCCTGAGAGTCAGCCCTGAATAGATAGAAAAGTCTGCTGAAAAGAAAGAATGAAGGCCCAGAAAGGCCGTTCCTACCTTGAGAGACGGTGACCAGGGTCCCAGGACCCCAGAGGTCCAGGCCATAGTAGTCACCATGGTAGATCTTCCATCCTTGCCTCACAAAAACCTCAGGCTCCTGACCCGGCTCAGCTGCTGGCTGCCCAGAGACCGGAGACTGACTCTCCGAGGCGCCAAAGTGTCATCAGCCAAGCCACGACTCTGTTCTCCCTAGCCAGCCCCCACGGTCCAGTCTGGCCCCTCAGAAGCCAGACCATAGTCGGCTTGGGGCACTCTAAGGTCCCTCTGGAGTCCAGGAGGGCTCAGTCAGGTGCCTGGTCCGCAAAGTCGGTGTGGCAGGGCTGGTGGTCACAACAGCCCCGACAAAGTTTCCAACTGTCCAGATGGTTGCCCCAGTCTACCCAGAGGGCAGACTGGTCACCCCAGACCAGCCAGACGAGACCCCTGGCCCTAAAATCTATGGCCAAATTCACTTTTCTGACCTCCCAGAACTCTCGGCCACTCTGACGCTGAGACCCTGAAGCCCTAAATCCCCAGTAAAGGCAGGCAGATGGAGAGGACTCACCTGAGGAGACGGTGACCAGGGTGCCTGGGCCCCAGAGATTGAAGTAATCACGTTGCTGGAGACACCATAGGGCGGCGTACAAAAACCCCCGTGCCAGCTGGCCACCCCGAAAGTCCGTTTCCTCGACCCTCCCATCCCCAAGCCCAAGGCACGACTCTGCCATCCCCAGCCCCAAAGTAGAAAGGGGCAACCTCACCTGAGGAGACAGGGTGCCCTGGTCCCTGAGAGCTAATAGGTTGTCACAGTGTGACGGCCCTTGCCAGGATGCCCGGCAATATCTGTCCAGGCCTGAGACCAAGAAACACTCATTTTGCCCCAAAATGAAGCAAAGTCCCTCAGAGCCGAGCAGAAGAGAGAGAGGTAGTGAGGACTCACCTGAGGAGACGGTGACCAGGGTGCCTGGGCCCCACAGCTCCAACCTGGTATCACAGTGTGACAACCATGCTGGGACCCATGGCAAGAACTGGCCAGGCCTGGTGCCCTCTCAGAAGGAGCCTCACGAGGGCCAGCAAAGTGGGGACCGAGGGCTCCAGAGAGGCCTTGGTTGCAGTCAGGAGGAGAGGGAGCCACGGCTCCTGAGGACTCTGTCCTGAAGCCCCAGGCTGCCCCAAGAAACCCTTGGTCTGAGACCCAGACACACGCACTCTGCCCCCAGATTAGGGAAGTCCCTTCAGAGCTGAACAGGAGAGAAAGGCGGTGAGGACTCACCTGAAGAGCCGGTGACCAGGGTGCCTGGGCCCCAGAGATCCAACCAGTCATCACAGTGACAACTATACCAGGACCCTCAACAAAAACTGGCCGACCTGTGGCCAGACACACCTATTTTCCCTCCCAAATGAAACAAAGTCCCTCAGAGCCGAGTGGCATACAAAATCCTCACCTGCCAGCCCCTGCACTGGCCAGCTGCCCAAGAAAATCTGTTTCCTTAGCTCTCATGTCCCTGAGGCTAAAGCATGACTCTGCCAGCCCTGGCTCCAGAGCAGAATAGGGAGACCTCTCCCAAAGAGATGGTGACCAGGGTGCCTGGGCCCCCACTTAAAACCATCACCCGGCAGGGCACTCCCTGCTGCTGCCCAGGCACGAGCCACAGTTGCGGCTGCCTGGCCAGTGTGCCTGCTGACAGCATGCAGCCCCAGGCTGCTGGCAGGTACGCTAGGGTGCAGGCGCTGGTGGCTGGGCCCCTCTGAGGCTGGACACTGGGTGCCTGCAGACTTGGCCTGGAGCCTGGGTTGAGAAGACTAAGGGATCCTGCAGGGCCTTTACCTGAGACGGTGATCAGCGGCACACAGCTTCTGCTGCACTGCGTCAACCCCTGACCCCTGTGTCTGCAGTGCCATGGCTCAGCCCTTCCCCACCACCCCTGCAGGACTCACTACAGGAGACTGACAGGACACTAGCCCTGTGAGACACCCTCGCCGGTCTGGGGCCTGGGATTCCCAGACTGGCCTCTCATTGGTCTCTAGTGTGGGGTCACCCTTCTCAGTGGAGCTGTTCAGCCCTCTTGTCTCAGCCCCACCCAGTGTCCTCCTGTAACCACCCGGCTTTGCCCCTCCCACTTGTGCTCCTCCTGCCCTTGCCCCCATACATCTATGTCCTCCATCCTGCCCACCCTTGCCCTACCGCTCCCCCAGAACTCACCCCTTGTCCATTCAGAAGTGCCCCTCACTTTTTACAGAACCCAAAAGCTGCCCCCTGGGTTGTGTTGGGGACAGGAGGCTGGGTTTTCACAGGGCTAGGAGTCATCGTGCTTCAGGGTAGCACAGTAACTCCCAGCTCAGCCTAAAACCCTGTGTGTATGGAGGTGGGTGGGCAGGGCTATGGGCCAGAAGCGCCCCAGCGCATCAGAGACCATGAGCTGTCCATCGGCTCCAGGCTGCTGGCGTTCCTTCCTCCCTCTGGTGCTGGGGCAGTGGGGTTGTGTGTGGCTGTGTGGCTGTGCGGGGCTGTGCTGGGCTGTGAGGGGCTGTGCGGGGCTGTGTGGGGCAGTGGGGCTGTGTGGGGCTGTGTGGGGCAGTGGGGCAGTGGGGCTGTGTGGGGCTGTGTGTGGCTGTGTGGCTGTGCGGGGCTGTGCTGGGCTGTGAGGGGCTGTGCGGGGCTGTGTGGGGCAGTGGGGCTGTGTGGGGCTGTGTGGGGCAGTGGGGCTGTGCGGGGCTGTGCAGGGCTGTGTGGGGCTGTGTGGCTGTGTGTGGCTGTGTGGGACAGTGGGGCTGTGCGGGGCTGTGCGGGGCTGTGCGGGGCTGTGCGGGGCTGTGCGGGGCTGTGTGGGGCAGTGGAGCTGTGTGGGGCAGTGGGGCTGTGTGGGGCAGTGGGGCTGTGTGGGGCTGTGTGGGGCAGTGGGGCTGTGCGGGGCTGTGCGGGGCTGTGTGGGGCACATTGCCCTCCTCTGTGCGGCTGGAAAGGTTTCCTGGGCTGTGCAAGGAGCTGAGGAGGCAGTGGACAGCTTGAGGGTACCCTGAGGTGGACAGCTTTCTGGTTGGGTTCCTGAGGATTCTGTCAGCCACGTGACTGGCCCAATGCGGGTCCTCCTGGCCTCTCTATGGGGTGCACCCCTGTTCCCTGTCCTCCCTGCCAGGCAGGCTATATCTGATTCACTTGTGGTGTCTTGGACCCGGGGTCTCAGTGCAGAGCTGGAGCCTGAGAGTGGGCAGGGCTGTCTTCAGGACAGGGCCTCAGGTCACCTCATGGTGTATCTATGTCCACTCCATCAGGATACTAGCCCTGTCATTCTCAGGCCTGTTCATTCATAAATGCTAATATTCCACATTGAAAACCTACTGGACTTTATTTTCACTTTTGGCAAAGAGGGTGGGACTCAAACTACTTGTCTACCCTATTGGGATGAATCCAATGGGAATCTTACTGAAAGTAGCCTCATCTGCTCTTCGAAGAACTCCAGTCACAACCTCCTGCAGGGTCCCATCCCCTCCGGCAACAATAATCACATCTGTGCTTTCCATCAATTCCAGAAGCTTCTTGGCTTGTCCCTCATAATCTGTCTTAACGACAGTCACATCCATGCCAGACAAATGTAAAATTGGGGCGGCATTTTTTTCAAATAGAGTCCTAGCTTTACCTTTGGGGACATCTGTGGACCCCAAACTGGATGTGCTCACAGGTGGGTCCTGTGGGGTTGGGGAGGGGAAGGCACTTTGTAGTCCTGCTGAGGAGCCCAGGGTAGCTGGATGGGCGAAGGTGGAGAGCAGGAGTGGTTAAGAGGGGGGTTAACAGTGGACGGGGCTGTATGGGTTTGTTCAGTTTCATTCCAGAAGGTCTCCTGTGGCACGATGTGGGCTGGCTGGGGTACTGGGGAGGGAAGCCTGAAAGTGGAGAGAGGGTGTGGGCTCCTGTGGGGTTGGGAAAGGAGAGGAGAACCACCTGAGTGGTGCTGGGGAACTGGGGTCCCTCTAGACGTGGCTGGATGGTTCTCAACAGCCCTGGGAGAGGAGATGACCTCAGCTGAGGTTTCCCCATTGTCCTGACTGCACGCTGAGAGAAGGCCACAGACTTGGTTGTTTAAGGGCAAATTGGTTCCATTCGTGGTGCACAGATAGATGCGTGGAGAGAGGGCAAAAGAAGAGAAGGAGACTCAGGGGGCTTAGGAACAGATTGGGTGCCTGTGTTCTTCCTGTCTGCCCTCCTGGCTGGGGTCCAGTGGCCCTTGGAGACTTGTTGAACTCCCGGGTTCCTTCTGGAAGGTTCTTCTTCCCATGGTCTGTGCTCTGAAGAACAAAGGGCTTGTGAGGAAGCAGCTGCTTGTGAGCTGTGCTGTGGTTTCTGGCTGGGGGAAGGAAGGTGCACACCATGCCCTGCCTGTCTGCAGCCGCAGTGTCCAGTCCCAGCCTCCACATTCTCTGCTTGTGGAGAATCCTGTCACCCTGCAGATCTCACAGGCTCCTGGTGCCTTTGCATAGCCGTCTCAGTCCAAGGGTGGGTACCTCCCTGTCTGCTCAACATGGTGTCCACAGATGGAGAAATCAGACAGCGAAGCTGTCTGCTCAAGGTGACCTTGGGCAGTACCAGTTGGGTCCCATAGAACTCTGAGCAGCCAGCCTCCATAGGCCCCACCAAGGCCGAGAACCCGCTGCCTCCTGGGACAGTGTGCTGAAGTGGGATGAATCTGTCTTCGGGAAAATTCCAGGTTTGCTGGCACAGCATTGTGGAGCAGAGCCAGTGCGGTGGGGGTGGCGTGTGCCTGCCCCTGCCCTGCCGCCCTAGGTACTGTGAGCAGCACCTGCATTTTCTGTTGGCCCTTACAGCCTGTGCGGACCTTATTGTCAGTGTTGGGGGTCCCACCCTCCTACCTGGCCTCTAGGGCTCAGGATTTGCAGACCCCTCTTTTCTGCTTTGGGCCACCATGTTGGATGGAGCCACCAGAGCTCCAATCTCTCAGAGCTTAGTCCTCCACTGCCAAGGTGTAAACAAATGGTTGTGTGGCCTTTTGTCTTTCTGGCTTCTCACTTTAGCCATTCCTGCTCGAGCTGTTGGGTATCTGAGTTGGGGAAGCCTGTCTCAGCACTGGTTCTTTCCACTCCCTCTGGGAATGTACAACAGCTACTGGTCAGCCTTGGGGCCTCTTCTGTTCCTTTTGTTCTAAGGAGTGAGCAGTAAGCCTTCTTCCTCTCCCATTCATGACCAAGAGGACCTGAGTGGCCTGGCTGCAACAGCAGCACCTTCCACAGCACCTCCATCATGAGCCTCTGACACAGCTCACGGCAGCATGTTGCTTGCTCCTCATCACCTGGTCTTCCCCAGTGGAAGCTGCTCTGCTCACCAGGGTATGGAGACACCATGGCCCTAGGAAGCTTGTGGGAAGCACAGGCCCATAACAGCAGTGCCCTCACTCCTCTCTTGAGGGAAGGCCATGGTAGATCTCATCAAGCTGCCCGTGGGGAGAGCTGTGCCCAAGGTGGGTTGGGGTGAGAAAGGCAAATGCTGGGCCCTTCATGGCCATGCAATTTGGCCATGCTGCATGGCTTCCCGGCCGAGGGCTGTGGTCACTCCTGTCTGAAGCAGTGCTGGACTTCAGCCTGATACCTCCTATCACCATAG